TAATCCATAAATTCGAACAAATAATTAATCCCAAACCTAACTAAGCAACAAATCAAACTTATGTTACAAATATATTACTTCAAACAAATTCAAGCCTAATGTTTCTTCAACCTAACCTAATACTCCGGTGATAATCCACAACCTATAGCTCCCATATAAGACTTAATTTCAAAACTCTGATACCAAATCTGAAACGTTCCAAAATTTACCACGAAATGTGTTACTATCTATAACAATTCATATCATGAGAGCCATTAATAAAATTCATAAATTAAAAAAATTCATTCATCATCCATAATAACTAAAACATCATCTAAAACAAATATTTCAATCCATGACAATTATATCTAAAAATCAAATGTTATCTTGCAGCGGAATAAATAAAACATTATCCTTAATATTATCTCATAATTAATCTCCTAATCTAGAATATAAAAGAAACATCTCTAAACGTCCATCTCGAGATCCACGTTTCCATCAATTTGAGTTTTTCAATTTACCTGCTCTTTCGATCCGAGCTATTCTTCTTAATCATAATTTGAAAAAGATGTTATTTGTAGGGGGTGAGTACTAAGCGCTGGAGGAAAATCCTCCCAAGTTCGAACAAGAGTTTGAAAACATATAAAATAGGTCGGTCTCATTTTATAAAATATCATATATAACTTTTGAAATAAAACGTTGACAGTTTATCAGATCTCAAGTTTACGTAGTAGTAATAAATAAAACGAAGAAATAAAACTAATTTTCAAATAATAAACCATTACCAACACTGTATTTCAGGTATATAGGAAGACTTAGTATGAATACACACATTGAGAATATCCTGATTAATACACACCCTTAATCATCGCAAGGACACATAACTTTAGGAAGGGCGTATACCTACGTATCGTCAATGACAAATCTAATCCAGGAATAGTATACTAGCCCTCAGCACCGATACCTGTGAGCAAATAGTAGTTTGGGCCTCGTAAGGCACCAACCCTACATGAGTGGTAGAGAACCTTCAAATCCACTCGGAGTAAGAAATGCATCTATCCACTCTACGATACTTAGTCAACGGTCACCCATGTTCATCAAAATATCTACATAAGAGATATAATACCAAACCAGTTCACCAAATCACAGGCTATGAAGTACGGATACATCGCTAAGGTTGACATACCTGTATCGGATATGATTTTCGTCGGATACTCGATGATACGTATTATCTGTATTTGATAATTAATAAAATATGTGGATACTTCGCGGATACTTTTAAACATAAAACAAGATGTACAAATTTTAATTTCAAGCTATACCCCTTTCTTTGGAGTTCACATACAATATAAAATATCAACAAAATTCCATCTGATTTTGAAGACACGAGTGTTTTTTTAAGTATTATCTATTATTATATGTTAAGATAGTTAAAAAAAAAATGAGTCACATACACTATAATTCTAAAAATAAATACTTGTAAATAAACCAACTAGTTAAATGTAGTTATGATTTCTTCAATTGGTTATGTTCATTTTATGAACATATCATAATGAGACGATATTACATCCTTTTCAGGATAAAAATTCCTAATTTTACTTACTAATGTTAAAGAATTATTGAAAATTTGTAATTTATAAGTCGTTAAATAATAGTAAAATATAAAATATATTTTATTATAGATGTATCCTGGCCATACTCGTATTTTTTTTTTTAAGTTTTGTCGTATTGCCGTATCCGTGTTACGTATCCATATCCATGTTTCCTAGATCACAGGTAAACCAAGAACTATAATTTCACAGATATTTTTTCAACATTACAACTCAATAAGATCATCAAGAAATATAATTTTATTATTTCAACAAAATACTAGAGCTTTTAAATCAAGAACAATAGAATCTCAAGGGTAAAACTAATATTTTTTCAAAACTAAGGTTTGGATGATAACAAGAACGAGAGTTTTTATGGCTATCAAACGATAGTCTCAATCAAGACATAATACAATTTGCAAGAAAATTAAAAAATAATGATTTCATAATATATATATATATATATATATACGATTTAGAATCAAAACATATACATATATTAATCCTAGCCTTAATGAACAAGTTTATGAAAAAATTCCAACTTTGATTCTTGAGATCTTGATCGTAACGTGTTTCGTTGGAATTACCTACGTTAATTCTTCAAGATTTAGCCCATTTTTCCTCCTTTTTTTCTCCTCAAACTTTTTTAGGGTTATTGGGGTTGGAAAGATAAGTAAAGACACTCTAGACCACAGCCTTAGGGTATTTATAGGCTAAAAAATAGAGAATTCCCGTGCCCACACGGTTAACAATCTGTCCCTGACTTTTAGCTCGATTTTAACCTAGTTAAAAGACGATTCACGAAATTTTTGTGAAATACACTTTTGTAACCCTTGAAATGTAGTTTCTACTATAAAAATTTCAGTTCAATTGGACATTAGTGTAAAAAGTTATGGCGAAAATACTACGATTATGTCAAATTCTTTTTTACCCAAATCATCTCCAAAATAGATTTTAACTCTATAATACTTCTGAACTTCTAATACAACTCATATTACATCTTCTAATGTTTTTCGATCTTCTAGATTCAATAAAAACCTTATTTTGATCTAAAAATATTTATAAAATTATTTTGCCGCCCTTCTCAAATTTAAACAGTTCCAAAACTCAATTTATTCCGAAAATCCAATACGCTTGAAACTTAAACTTCATAATCAAATTTTAACAATTATTCTAAGTTTTGACCACCATTTTATTTTTCTTAGGAGAACTCTTAAGATAATATTCAAGGATCAAAATTTCGTTTCGAAGTACCGTTTCGGTCAACTCAAAAATAGAAACGTTTCGGAAACATTTCGGAAACGCAATGGAAACGCAGAAAAAATATGGAAACGCATTGAAACACAAATGCAATCCATTAATTTATAAAGATATGCTAAATAATTTATTAATTCAACATATTTATTAGGTTAACATCAATTTATACAAGAATAAATTTAAATTTGAGGGAAAAAAAGGCTTGACTTGAGGCGAAAGTCACTTAAATTAGTTTCAAACACTTAATTTTTATGAAATAAACACATTTTTACATAATATTAAGGTCTTATAATACACATGAAATGCTAATGAGTACATACTTACATGGTTACATCCATTCCCCTGTGGAGTGTCGAGCAGGCTCATACATCGGTGTAAGCTCTAGGTAGCTACTTAGAGAAACTCTATATGTGACATAAATATGATGACAATAGTTACTCCAAATCATATTATTACGGTAATATAATCCAATTAATAATACTATTTTATTATAATACTAATAATGAAGGGTATCAAATTAAATTAATGATACTTATGTATACTTAAAAATTAAATGTAATTGTAGTGGGTATTAAATGTAATTACAGTAGGTATTAAATATAATTACATTAGGGTATTAAATGTAATTGTTAATACTTATAACAAAAAAAAAAGCAAAAAACTTGCACAGCAGTGAGGTATTAAATATAATTATAGTATGTATTAAATATAATTATAATGGGTATTAAATATAATTATAGTAGGGTATTAAGTGTAATTATTTATTCTTATAACAAAAAAATTATAAAAGACAGAAGAGCAGTGGGAATTAAATGTAATTATAGTGGGATATTAAATATAATTATAGTGAGTATTAAATGTAATTACAGTGGGTATTAAATGTAATTATAATGGGGTATTAAATGTAATTATTCATAATGAACCGAATATATCACTGTTTTGTCGAAACGGTACTGTTTCGATCGAAACGGTTCGAAACAATGCCGTTTCGACCGAAACGGTCCGAAACAGTACCGTTTCGACCGAAACACTGAAATTTTGTGATTCAACTACTGTTTCGTTTCGGAGTGTTGAAATTCCGAAACGTTTCGGACGTGTCGACACGACATTTTGATCCTTGATAATATTATACTTTTTTATTTCTAATACGGGGTCTTATAGTAATAAGTATATCCCCTAGGTAATATATTAGTCTTTGACTCATGTTTGCATACATATATGCATATGGGGTGATAGAGGCAGGATGACTCCCTTTTGCTTTTCTCTCATATTTCTCTATTCTGTATTTTTTCTCTCTTTCTTCTACCCTGCATCCTTAACATGTACCTATAAAAACTAAAAGGAAAAATTTATAAAACATCTCAAAACCAGCTAGGCCATCTACGAAGCAATACTCCATAAATCAAGGGTGGCTGAAATGTAGATGTTGAGATGGATATAAAAACTAACAATGACTAACACTAGGTATGGATAAACATGTGAGATAGTTGGAGGAACACCAATGAGGGTATAAGTTGAGGGTAAAATACGTTAGGTTCTGCCATGTGCACAAAGACCAAGAACTGGAATAGTGAGGAAGAGTGATATAACCCACATTGAGGATAGGGCTAGGGCCGCTAGGGGGAGGGTTTGATCGTAGACAAATTGACTAGGATAGATCTCAATATAAACAGAGACTCTGGATACGCTCCAACCATAAGTAGTTAAGCCGTCATTGAGTTAAGTATGTGATATTGATGCCAAGGATTAAAATATCGTTTCGAAACGGTCAAAACGTTTCTGTTTCTAAGAAGACTGAACGAATCAGTAATGAAATCAAAATTTTAATACTTCGAAGTGTTCTATAATGTTTTGAAATGTTATATTTCAATATATTTGCACAATTATTTTAGAATGTTTCAAAGTATTTCAATATATTTTTGTATATTTTGACCAGTTTTGTAAAAATAATTCTTAAATTTTTTATTTTTTTCATTTTGTTTCCGAAATGGATCGAAACGTTTTCGAAACACATTGAAATATTTCCGTTTCCTAGGTGACCAAAATAATGCACCGAAACAAAATTTTGATCCTTAACTGATGCAAGATATACCCACCACTTATAGAAGCTAAAAGCTGTTCATTTTAAGATACAAGCGCTGCAGTTTGCTACCAATATGTTTTGAGTTCCTCTGCATGTTGTTTCGTGCATGCATATCTTTGGTGTTTGGCTGGCATATTGCTTTTTGTGTCCTTGATGTTAGTATACTACTTTTCCTAGTGGAAACAAAACTGGTGGGTGAATTTCTAAGGACTTTACAGTTAATAAAAAAATTTATGATATATATTTGTTTTTGCAGATTGGTAAAGGTGTTCTTGTCAAGGCCGTTGGTGTTATTGATGCGAGTGCAGATACTGTTTTTGAGGTGGTTTTGAATCTTGGTCGGCATCAGAGATATGAGTATGTTGCTTAGATTATTTGCTAGTTACATGGTTGTACCACTTGATTTTGTCCAATGCTAAATATCTGTGCAGGTGGGATACATTAACAGGCGACTTGGAGCTGGTTGATTCTTTAAATGGACACTATGATGTTGTCTATGGGACCTATGATCCCAGATATTTAACTAGGTAAGTTATTATCTTGAGTCCTTGACCAGTATGTCTTTTGCTACTTAATGAGTTTGGTAGAGTTGCTAGTTATGGACTACTTGTCATTCGTTTCCTTGCTTCATATGTGAACAAAAGGTAAATTTTGTGTTTCTCCTTGATGTTCTGAGATAGTGGCTTGCCAATTTATGTTGTTGGTTTGACTAGTTTGAGTTTCATTGCCATTTTGAGCCTTGCCTCTATTAGATGGTTTACATGATATGACATGTTTTATTGCTTCACTGAATATTGAGAAGTTACTGTAATTCTCGTGTCATGGTAATATTCTTAATTCTATACATCTTCTAGTCCGTTTGTTGATCTGCCGCTCTTTGAAGGCATCTTTTGTTTTTCCCCCTTCTGCTGAAAATGTCAAGAGTTCATAGAGGAGGAAGGAGGGTACGAAGCATGAATATGAGGAATCCGAATGAAGAATGATGTATAACTTGATGCCAGCTAGGAACAAACCACAACCTCCTTGTTTTGTAATAGTGTGTTGCTTGAGGGGGTTGTAAGAGAGACAGAGAGTGTGTGTTGGTTCTTGGTAACATATCATTTGCGTCATTTGTTTTACAAGCACTATGACATAAATTGCCCTTGATAGCAGCCTTTTGCAAGGCACACGGTTTGATTCAAATAACAGTTGGAGCCAAAGATCACATTGGTTCTCTCTGTTAATTTTGAGAACGCAATTGAGAAAATTGAAGCTTTAGGCCCTAAGTAAAACTCTTGGCCAATTTTAGTGACCAATGATGTAATCAACCCAAAGTAAGTCATCTAAAGTAACTGGAATAAGGACTATATGGTTTTTATCAGCATATTGTTACTCCTCTCGAAGGGAAAGTTACCGAATAAGGTATGTGAGTATTTAGTTGGAGGGGGCATGAAAGGAATTAAAGAAATCATCAGAAGTATGTTTTTTTGCAATCTCTTGTCTGTATAACATGGGGGATTATTCACTATTATGATTCATATCTACTAACTGTTTTGTGTTGCATAAGCAATATAAGATTTAGTTTATATATTCTATAACGTTACACAGCTATGGACAAACTAATTAGCAATGTGTATAACAATATATCTAGGTGTTGTGTCCCACATTTTTAAGATTTTCCGTGTTGGCATGTCCGTGTCAATGCTTTATGCTAGAGTGTTTTCTTGAACTTATTTCATTTTTTCATGACCCATGTGTTGTTTTTTGTGCAGGTGGCAGTCTAAGAGAGACTTTGTCTTCTCAAGGCAATGGTTCCGTGGACAAGATGGAACATATAGTGAGTGACCCAAGTTTCGGCTAGTTATTTTCTCTTTTTCTTTTTGTTTCTTTTTTGAACAGGGATTCCTTTTGTTATCAACCAGTAGTTTTAGAATTCTTGTCAATTGAGTGCTATGCATGGTGGCACATGCATGATGCAGAGGAAAGTATGGACTGTGTCATCCTTTTTTAGCCTGTCATGTACTATGTTTTTTGGTGAATGGGTGTTGGATTGGGCAGTAGCAAGTCACAAAAACTCCTGGAAAAAGGGGCAATTCTGGTGTGTAGAAAATCATAAAAAAAAGGAGTGATAAATAGGTATATTGAGGTGATAAAAGACATGTATAACCGGCTATGACTATAATTAGGTCTTCTGTGGGAGAAAATAAAGAATTTTCAATCACGGTGGGATTACACCAAGGATCTGCCCTAAGTTCATTCATACTTGCCCTAATTATGGATGAACTCACTAGGCACATTCAACATGATGTCCCATGGTGTATGCTATTTGCAAATGATATTGTATTAGTAGATGAAGCTTGTAGGGGGATTAATAATTAGCTAAAAATTTGGAGAGAGACATTCAAGTCGAAAAGGTTTAAAATAAGTAGGAGTAAGACTCAATATATGCAATGCAATTTTAGTAATAGAAGATGTAGATATAGTGAAAAAGTTAAGATTGAAAATCAAGAAATACCAATGAGTAAACAATTTAGATATCTAGAATTGATCATTAAACATGATGAAGAGATTGAAGATGATGTAACTCAGAATAAACGCCGATTAGCTTAAGTGGATGAAAGCCTCTGACACATTATGTGATAGAAGGATGCCAATAAAATTGAAAGATAAGTTTTATCGAACAACTATAAGGACAACAATGTTGAATGAGACAGAATGTTGGGCAACTAGAAAACAATATAGTGATAAAATGAGTGTAGCAGAAATGAGAATGCTTAGGTGGATGTGTGAAAAAATTAGAAATGATAGAATACGAAATGACCATATTAGAGAAATGGTAGAGGTAGCTCCAATTGAGAATAAGTTAAGAGAAAATAGATTAAGATGCTTTTATCATGTTCAACAGAGGCCAATAAAGGCGCTGGTTCAAAAAAGTGAGAATTTCTCTTAATAGTACTAGAAGTTAGGATAGACCTAAATTAATATTGAACGAAATAATAAAAAAAGATATGAAAATATTTAACTTAAATGAGCATCTAGCATATGATTGAAATGAATGGAGAAAACAAACTCATATAGCCGACCCCAAATGATTGAGACAAGGTTTAGTTTGGTTTGGTTTGGTTTGAATAAATGGTTGTGTAAGAAAGGAGGAATAGAAAAGGAACTACAGAATCTTATATGGAGTCTATTATACTTCTCCCTTTCAAGGGCCATGGTGAGCTACATTATACAATTACATTTGTGAAATTTTAAGTGCACACTGTGGAATTGAAAAGTTGTGTATATAGTCTTTATTTTTCTCCTCCTTTTACTAGGGATAAATTTCCAAATCCTAGATAGTTTTAAGCAAAAGTTATTGATGAAACAAAGGTCCATGGCTTTTTCCTTGTAAATCTGATTGTAACCTAGCGATCTGTTATTTCTCGTGTATAAGTGTTAAAGCGTTTAACCGCAAACCAACAATGAGTGGTCCTAACCTTTTGATGTGAGATAAAAGCTTTGTTCACAACCCCTCACGTGGGACCAGGGTTCGCATGCACGGCTAATAAGCAAACAACCATACAATTAGATTATGAAGTTTTAGGGTTGAGAAAGGGAGAAGAGAACTTGGGGAAGAGAAAAATAGCCAAGAATATGTCTAGGGTTGTGTATCTTTCTACACAACTAATCCCAGTTTATATATATAAACACAAGTAATAAATACCCTCAAGCTAAATATAAAGCTTAACATAATACTCCCGCTCAAGTTGGTACATAAATATCCCACTTGCCCAACTTGCAAGCAATGGGGTAAAAAGTTTTGCCACTAAATCCTTTAGTGAAAATGTTTGCCAGCTAGTCTTCTGATTTCACAAACGGCATACAAATCAAACCCTTATTCAACTTTTCTTTAATGAAGTGTCAATCAATCTCAACATGCTTAGTTCTATCATGTTGAACTGAATTATGTGCAATGTTGATCTGAATTATGTGCAATGTTGATAGCAGCCTTATTATCACAGTAAAGTCTCATCGGTCCATCATTTGAAATTCCTAACTCTCCAAGTAAGATTTGGAGCCACATAAGCTGACACATTCCATACGTCATTGCCCTGTACTTAGCCTCTGCGCTTGACCTAGCTACTACAGCTTGTTTTGTAGTTCTCCAAGTAACAAGATTCCCTCCTATCAAGTTTCAGTAACCAAAAGTAGATTGTTTGTCATCTACTGAACTTGCCCAATCTGAATCAGTAAATGCTTCTAGTTTTAAGTCACCATGATTTGAGAATAAGATCCCTTTTCTTGAAGCAGACTTGAGATATCTAAAGATATGGTAAACTGTTTCAAAAGATGAGGACCTCGAGGATCATGCACAAATTAATTGACAACAGCCACTGTACATGTAATTTCAGGTCAAGTGTGTGAGAGATATATTAATCTCCCCACTAATTCTTGGTACCTTTATTTATCCACTACATCACCAGCATCATTACTCAGTCGATGATTTGTTTCAATAGGCAAATCAGAAGGTTTACAACCCAACATGCCTATTTTTTCATAAAGATCAAGAACATACTTCCTTTGGGAGATAAAAATGCTCTTATAAATTCTGACAACTTCAATCCCAAGAAAGTATCTTAATGGACCTAAATCTTTGATTTTAAACTCCTTAGCCAACTAAGCTTTTAATTTGGTGACTTCCTTCACATCATCCGCTGTTATCACTATGCCAACCATATATACAATGAGAATGATTATCTTACCATTAACCTGTTTGGTGAACATAGTGTGATCAACATGGCTCTGTTTGTATCCAAACTACAACATAGTTATAAGAAACCTGCCAAACCAAGCTCTAAGAGACTGTTTTAACCTAAGAAACTTCAACTTACACACCTTCCATTTCGTTAACTGAGACAAAAAACCTGGAGGTATCTCCATATACACCTCCTCCTCCAAATCTTCATGAAAAAAAACCATTCTTCACATCCAGCTATTGTAGGCTCTGACCCAGGTTACCTGCACAAGAGAAAAGAACACTTATGGAGTTCATCTTTACCATAGAAGCAAAAGTCTCATGATAAACAATGTCACAAGCATAAGTAAACCCTTTAGCAACCAATTGAGATTTGAATCTCTCAAATAGTTTCTATTTGAGAGATTCAGTTTATTGCTTGACTGTGAACACCCATTTACATCCAGCTATCTTACCCAAGTAGGAAGGGAGACCCATTTACATTCATTTCCTTTACCATAGTTTCTTTCCATTTAGGATCGTGAAAACTTTTTTCCAACCACGAGGAATACATAAAGATGACAAAGAGGAGACAAAAACACAGTAGAATAGTGAGAAAGAATTATAGGAAACAAAGTTACAAATGGGTTGTTTAGTGCAAGTTCTAACACCCTTCTTTACTGCAATAGGAAGTTCAGAATCATTAACAACTGGATTATCGATGGCAAAAGTCATGGTCTGAAATTGATTACCTGATAAATTAGTGGGCAATGCTGGAACTGGAGTTGGGAAATGTAACTGATCCAGTGGAACATGGATAATCTGTACCTTTTGATATTGAGGGTAAGATGCTGAAACTGGAGTTAAGAAATGTAGCTGACTCGGTGGCACATGGGTAGCCTATACCTTTTGATGCCGAGAGTAAGTCTTCAAATTATCCTTATCAAAATGAGCATCAAAGGAATCACTGGTATCACCAATAAGTTGTGGTTGTTTCTTCTCTTGACTAATATTCTACAAAATAGGTAACTGAAAAAGGGGTTACATATTCTTTCTTCCTTAGTTGTGGTACCTTGAAGAGATATTTGGGAAGTAGGGAAAAAAGATTCAAATTCTCGAAAGGTGACATCCATGCTAACATACCCTCTCTATGATGGTAGATGACAACACTTATACTTTTTTTGGGTAGCAAAATAACGGATAAAAATACACACCAAGGCCTTAGGGTCAAGTTTTTCTCTGGATGATCTAGAGTTATTACAAAACAAACACATCCAAAAGTTTTAGAAGGAAGAGAAAATAAGGAAGGAAGGAATGGAAAAAATCCAGGAGAGAATGTTGCCAAGTGATTGAAATTGAAGAACACTCGAAGGTAGAAGATTAACAAGATAAACAGTGGTGGGAACTGTATCCCCCCAAGAAGATGGAGGAAAATTCATAGGAAACATTAATGACCGAGTAACATCAAGAAGGTGGCGATTTTTTCTCACCTCGGGAGTATCCACACAAGTGATTTGATAAAGACTACCATTATCACTCAGAATAATTTTAATTTTAGTATCAAATTGAGTGCTCACTATTTTATGAAAAGATTTGAAGCAAGAGAATAATACTTCACTCTTAGTGCAAATTAAGTACACCCAAGTAATACGAGAATGATAATCAATAATTGTGACAAACCAACAATAACTTAAGGTAGATTCCACACAGGAAGATCTACACACATCGGAAGGAACAATCATAAAAGGAGCAGTGCTTGTAGTATTATTAATAGGATAAGACAAACGGTTGCGTTTGGCAAATTCACAAGTATCATAATCAAAAAATTGGCTACTACACTGTTTTACTAAACTAGGAAAAAGTTTATCTAAGACACCGAAAGAAGAATGTCCCAAATGCCTATGCCATTAGTGCAAAAGCTGAAGGGATGAACTACAATCTGCTTGAAGACCTTGGATACCAAGTAAGGAGCTCCAACATCCAAAAAATATAGACCCCCATTGCTAATTGTTTTTCCCGATTCTAGTTCCTGAAGGATAAAATGAATGGGAAGAAATATCACAAGACAATTCAAAGAGTTTGTAACATTGCTCACAAACAATAAGGTAATACAGAAATTTGGGACATG